GGGCCTCACACACGGCCAGTGCACTTGTTCCACTAGGAATGGTGATGCTTTTTCTTTAAAACAAAAGTAAACTTTCAAAAGAAAAAACGCTCTTCATTTCCTTTAAATGTTTTGTTGCTCTCTGCCTGTGACCGAGCGCCGACTGCTCGCGCGCAAGCAGCCGTGGGCGGTGTCCTGGGCCTGGGACCGAGGTTTAAATGCCCGATGGGAGCATCTCGATGCGGGCGGATGAAGGGTCCCGGTGTGGTCCTCCCGGGGCTTCCTGGGCAGAGGCGCCGGACTGGCAGGTGTTGCTGGGAGGGGAACCGCCCTGCCCTGTGCGTGGCTCCCTCCTGGACCTTGTAGCCATTTCACCAGAGTTTATTTATTTATTACTCATTCATTCACTCTTTCTTTTTTAAAAGGAGCCCCAGGTGCATGCTGACAGAGTAGGAGAGGTGTTATTATTGATCTTTAGAGAGGGAGGAAGAGAGGGGGAAACATCGATGGGAGAGGGAAGTGCTGATTGGCTGCCTCCTCCACACTCCCTCACCCCCCGCCATGCGCCCCAACTGGGATGGAACCAGCGGCCTTTGGGTGCATGGCAGGGTGCCCGACCAGGGAGCTCCATGGGCCAGGCCCGGAGACCACGCCTGTGCCTCGCAGACAGGCAGGGCCGGAGCTGGGGGCTGAGGAGAGAGTGCTCTGTGGAGTTCTGCCCATGGCGCGCTCCCAGCTTCGCTCCTCACGGCAGCGTTTCCTCGCCGGCCTTCGCCATCAGAGTGACGGGCACCGACCTCTGGCCCAGCTCCTGGCCCCGTGTCCCCCTCGAATCCCCTGTAGCTCAGCCCCGAGGCCCAGCCCCCGGGCAGGTGACTTATAAAATAATAGAGGTTATGATCGAGGATGCCTTGTAGCTCTTTGTTGGCCTTTAATAGAACTTGTAGGAACATGAGTCACGAGGGCAGGGGGTGCTCGGGGGAAGGGGTGTGTGTGCAGCGAATAAGAAGGAGGATTTGGAGCCCTGAGGCGGGACCATTCAGTGCCAGGAGTCCGCACCGCGACGGGTTCTGTGACTGGGAAGATGCTATGTTGCCCCTTTTTCCGATGTTAAGTGAAGGGGGGTGTGTGCTCTCCTTCATCTGATAGAGCGCGTGGGTTGATTACAGAGCCACCGCCCTCAGCTTAGTCCTGGAAAGCAGCCCTGGATGCGTGTTATTCTGATCGGGGTCTCGTTGTTTCTCATCAACCCCGACGTCCCTCAGCGCTCCGGCCTGTGCTATGCGTGTGCAGTACGTTAGAGACAGAAATGCCGAGCAGCGCTGACGCCCGGTGACTGACCGCCTTTGCCTCCCTCCCCAGCCGTGTCCTGCGGCATCCCCGAGGCCCCGGGGAACGGCTCCTTCGCGGGGAACGAGTTCACCTTGGGCAGTAAAGTCACGTACGAGTGTGACGAGGGCTTCACGCTCGAAGGCAGCCAGCGAGCCACGGCCGTGTGCCGGGAAGACGGGTCCTGGAGCCACGGAGGGACGCCGCCTGCCTGCAAGCGTGAGTGGGGCCGGGTCCCCGTGGGGGGCTCCTGGGGAGGGGGTGCCCTGCGAGGGTCCAGCTCCAGCCGCAGGAGTGAGCACCTGTCAGTGCATTGGGGGGTCGCAGACCACATTCCCCACAGAAACACATGTTCCCCACACAAACCCACATCCCACACACACCCACGTCCCACACACACCCACGTCCCACACACACCCACGTTCCACACACACCCACATCCACACACACCCACGTCCCACACACACCCACGT